AAAAAAAAACACCCTGAATTACAGAACAATTCATTTTATCTATGTTTCTCAGTAAAAAGCCTGAAGAAAACTAATAGAAGAGATCTAATATATTCTGGTATAATTCAGAAGTACAGGAGAAACATGAGACCCTGTCTCAAAAGAAAATTATGGGAAGAACTTCTGAGCCACTCACATAGGGTTTGTACTATTATTCAAAGCAATGAGCGTCACAAAAACCTCCAATTATTATCCACCCTCTCCCTGCAAAAGCCACTTTGCATGTAAAACTTTAAAATTATAACTTAATCATTGTAAGATTCACAGATTTTCTCTTAAAGCCATGTTCTATTATGTGATTCGAAAAGTACTTGAGTCACAAGTCTAAAGTATATACAACTTCTCATTCACATGCATATTGAACAGAATGGTATCTAAGCTATTCAAATCATGAAACCTGCACTGTCTGGTTAGGTAAACAGCCTGTACTCAAACACCATGAAAAATTAGAATAGCATAAAGCCTTAGAAGAACAAAGGAATAAATAATAAAACTTGTTACTACTGAAAGAAGCCATCATCCTAAACTTTCAGCCTCTTTGCTTTCTTCTTTTGAAAATCTAAGAGTTTTATGTTACTATAATACATACCCATACTTCATTCTCATTCTGTCATTTTCTGGGTTACAATAAAATCTTTCCAAGTGCTCCTGAGAATCATTGGATACACTCTGCCACTTCTGAGTGGTTGTCCTTTTGATCTGCCAATGATAGGGCAAAATGGTATGATGTTTCAAACAATCCCTGCCATAAATGCACGTGCCTTGCAGAAAGTCCATGCAAATTTCAATTCCATTCTCTTGGTGAGTATGGTATTGTAGCTGATTTACCAGCTCAAACACAAGGTCAAGGGAAGCTTCCTCACTTTTGTCCTGGAAGAGCTCAGTACTCAACTTATCACTGGTATCCAAAATGTACTGTATTGTAAAACTATTGTCTTGGAAAGCCCCTGGAACATAATCCATAACTTTGTCTATGCAGTCAGGACTGGTAGGAACATCACCTGAAACAGGATGTAAAAGGTCAGTTTGGAAGTGTCCTGCTGCAGAATCTGCCACTGTGCCGCTGATAGTTTCTGGTGGAAAACTGTGATCCTGGATTGGAACCACTTGTTCTGGAGCATCGGCAGGAGGATGAGATTCTGGTAACTGGCCCTCAACATTTGTCCCATCAGGAATCAGGACAGGCATGCTGTTTTCTGCTGATGGACATGATGGACTGATTTCCAGGGGTTTTTTCACCATATGCTCATGTAAGGTGCTCTCATCTGCACTCTGGTCTCTAGCTCTGAAAACCCCATCAAGTGAGCCAGATTCTAGCAAAGTGTTTAATATTGGCCTCAAAGACCTCAGGGTTCCAGTTCCCAATCTCTTCTGATCCTGCTTTTTCTTAAAACAAGTTTTCAATGGAGCGATCTTCTCAGAAATCCTCATTTGGCATGAAAAATCATCAGGAGGAGAGGGAGGCTGTACTACACAGTCTGGCTCAGGTTCAGTGGTTTCCATTTCCATGATGTGGATTAGCTCCAATTGTTCCTCAATACCTAAAAATCCTACCAGGAAAAGAAGAAAAATAATCATTTGCAAACTGACAACTCAATCCCATTCTTTCATTAAAACATTTTGTGTTGCTCTGTGATTAAGTCCCTAAAATCACTCCTGGCACTATACAAGTCAATTTCCATTTTTATAGAGAAATGAAACCTCCAAAGCTATTCCAAGACTGCAGTACATAACAGTAGATGAGAATGCGTCTTTCAATAGGTGTCTGTTATTTACTTGGGTGCCTAATATATAACAGGTTGTAATTCTACTAGGGTGTGAATTTTTACTGCTAAGGCTGAAGTAGGGTGGAAGGCAGAAATAACTATTCTAGATGATGAAGCTGGGAAACCACATCTCCACTTAGCTTTGTGGCTTTCTTCAGTTGTTTATGTATCACCTCATGAGTTTGCAAAAACTTAAGTTTTTTTTGGGGGGGGGGTGTCATCAAATGAAGAGTAGACTTTAAAAGTTAAAAACCGAAAGAATTGGCATGTAAGAATAGATACCCCAGGAACTCTCAACTGAACTGTTATATGAGAAAAAGGCTGCTAAGCATTTTAATATTCAGAAGGTTCCAGTATTTTCTCCAAAAGTGTTAAAGGCCTACTTTTTAAATTACCAAAAAGCATTACGATTACTAAAGGAGTATCAGGGCATGTTTAGCTTCACACACCACAGGTCCTCCTACTCCTTGTCTTTGGACACATACACGTCTTAAAAAAGCAAATGAGACCATATTAAAACCTGAGCAAACTACTGGAAGAAACTAAGTCCTTCTCACAAGCACCAAATCCCTTTGAAAAGAGTTAAATTTCAAAGCATTTTACTGAGATTGTGCCAGGTGAGACAGGATAGTGAGGAGCAGTGTTTAATGGTCTCTTTTCTTGCCGGATAGGCTGAAAGGTATCTTTGATGCAAGGACCCATGATTTAATCAAGCATGCATCTTGGGGGTCCAGTACAGTACCTAACACAATGCACCACTGTGGATGTTTCATAACTATTTTGTTGGCTGAATTACTGAAGAAAAGGCACACATAAGATGCTTTGTTCTTGGTTGAGGGTCAAAAACAAAAACTGAGTACCTTGAAAATGGAATATAAAGATCTAGCTGGAGAGATTCGTAAGTCTATGTATAAAAGTGCACAATAACCAAAATTCAGAAAAAATGAAAAGCATGGAACAAAGTCTTAGTCTAAGTACAAAAGAGAAAAAAAAATGAAACTTCAGTATGTGCTGGCATTGTTAGGGAAAGCTTCACCAAAGAGGGATCTGACATGAGACATAAATAACTGGAAAGCAGCCAAGCCAGGGTTATTCATCATTTGGTGCTCTTGCCTCAAGGCTCAATTGGCACAGATTGTGGTATTCCCTCTCCATACCAAACCGGCCTGTGCCTTGCCCCATGCACGCACATTAACCACTCTTATCACAGCCAATCAAGACAAAACACTAAACCCATTTTATTTATCACACACACACATACACACGCACGCACGCACACAACTTTTCCTACTCCTTCAATCAAACTCGGAAACAGAACTGGGAAGCAGCAGAGACAAGGGGTGCGGAAGTCACTAGTTCCTCATTCAGTTTGCAAAACAGAAAAATAGCTACGGGAAGGACGCTTCCTCGGGTCGCCCGCTGCAGGCCACCCAATCGCGCCACCCTTCACCTCGTGACGCCCGGGTTGTCTGGCACTCCCCGCTGATCACACCTTCCATGGAAACCGCCCGCTCCAAACTGCCGGCCAGCCGCCGCGAGACACCGAGGCGCCGAGCCGGGGTCCGAGCGACGCCTCCTGCCGGCCGAGAGGCCACGACCGCCCGTCGCGCCACCTTAGCAGCGGCGCCACCCGGCTCCGCAATCCGAGGTGTTGGCGCGCATCCCCGCCTCCCTCGCCTTCTTTCCCGCAAGAGCCCGTGCGCCCCCAACCCCGCGGCCTGACCTCCCCGACCTCCCTGAAGCCACTCCCAGCGCCTTCCACGAGGAATTTCTCGCAGCTCCGAGCACCGTCCCGCGAGTCCCGGGGGCTGCCGAGTCGCGTCCCCGGCGGCGGCGGCGAGGGGGGAGCCGGGGACTCGCGCGCACCCGAAGTGAATGGGAGCACAGGCTGCAAACTTCTGGGCTGCAGCCCGGAACACCAGCGGCCGGAAGACTCCCGCAGCGGCGTGCCCTCCCGCAGGGGCCGCTCCGCCCCGAGGGAAGGGGAGACGCCGGCCGTCTCGGCTCCAGTCCCGGTGTACACCTGCCCGACGCCGAGCGGTGCGAAGTGGAAACCAATCCCACCCGGGTGCACTCACCACAGAAAAGCCGTCCACCGAGCCGTCGTCCGCTCCGCCGCAGCCCGCGCCCGTCATCCCGCCCGGGGTCCCTTCGCTGCCCACCCGCAGCCCTTTACCTCAGGCGGGCTGGCCGAAGGACGCCCCACAGGAGCGGCGTCTGCGCCAGCGGTCTGCGCCGAGGGCAGGCGCCGGTGTCTAAGGGTCGCAAGCGGCCGACCCGGCGAGCCGCGCACTGGCCATTCCGCGGACTGGGGCGCAGAAAGCCGCAACTGCGCTCCCGCTGCTCCTCGCTCGCCTGTCAGCCAGAGCTCTGCTTTAAGTAGCTTCCGGTCTCCGCCCCTAGGCGGCCTCGTCTGGGGGCGGAGCCTGGGTGGCGGGGGGTGGGGTGGGGTGAGGGGGCCGGGCACTCTGTGGGTGCCAGGAAGAGGGCCCGCCTCCCGCGCGCGTGCGCGTTCGTTCGTTCGTTCGCTCGTTCGTTCGTTCGTTTGTTCGTTCGTTCGTTCGTTCGTTCGTTAGTTCACTCGCTCGCGCGCGCCCTTGGCACTCGGACGGTGCGGGCGGCCGTGGTGCGCTCCCGCGAGGGGGCGTGTCCGCTCCTGGGCCGGCGGGGGTCGGGGAGCATCGGCGTGGACGCGCAGCGCGCCTGAGAGGAAGGAGAGCAGGCGGCGCTGCGTGGGGCGGGCTCCACCTGCCTGCGGGCAGAAGCAGGGTCACTGTGTTCCGCGGACGCCCAGGCACGCGACGTGCGAGAGGATGTGAAACGGAACGACCGGTTTCGGTGCGGCTGCCTTTATTTATCTGCCTCCTCCCCCACGCCTCCGGACCCGGAGACGGAGCCAACGGTGGTGGCTGCCACCGCCACGGCCGCCAGACGGGGTCGCCGGCCCCGCGCCGGACGGGCGGGAAGGGCTGCTGCCTCCCGGGTTCTGCTTTGCACACTCAGCCTGGGCGACGGGAAGCCCGCTGTGCGGTTCTGACCGTGGTGGGGATGCGGATGCGCGTGTGGGTTTACAGCCCACAGAGACCGTCCTGATTAATTGATTAACACATCAGAGCACCTATTATACGCCAGGCGGGTGCTAGGCTTAGTGCTACAACCCTGATGATCACCCAGACCCCATCCCTCCCCGCATCGAGTTTGCAGAGAACCTTGTGTGAACCTCAGAAATAGACTTGGAACTGTCACCTCTTCCGGGTTGTAAACTACCTGTGGAATATAGCTTCGAATAGTGAATAGATTTTCAGTAGGGAGAAAAACACTAAGTTCATATAATCCGTACTTAGGAAAAATAAAAAGGTTCTGGAAAATATTTTTATCTTGGGTTCTGGTAAACATGGGACCCTGAAGAATAGGAGCTAAGACAAGGTTATCCGTCCAAGCCTCTATTGACATTGCTAAACCAGGTTAAGGGTGGTATCTGCCTAGCAGGGCTGTCGAAAACTGCACCAAGGCGAGACCATTACACTAAGATGGGAATGATTGGGGCAGAGTTCTAAGGCCAGTATGTAGTTTAGAAACTATCATGTGGGTGGCTGGAAAGGTGACTCAGCAGTTAAAAGCACTAGCTACTCTTGGGGAGGACCCAGTTTCAGTTCCCGGCATCCATACGGTGGCCAACAACCGCCAGTAGCTCGGGTTCCAGGGGCTCTGACGCCCTTTTCTGGCCTCTATGCACGTGGTTCACCTATGCAGGCAAAACATTCAAACACATAGAAACAGAAAATTCTAATGAGACAAGATCTTGGCAAGCCCAACTTTTTATGGTGGCAACGAGAAGTCATTCACGAAGTGCACCATGGAGAGCCTCACCAATCATATTTTAAAACAATCGCAAAGCATCTCAATGTTTTAAGTTAGTTATGATTTTGTATTGGACTATATATATAGCTAATCCTGGGGCATATGCAGCCCCTAGGTTCCAGTCTGGATATTTGGGTTTAAATCCATCTATTTTATGCATATTTGCTTTTATTTCATGCTTTCTTTGGGGCTATTTTTAAAATTCCATTCTCTTCCAACAATTTTTTGTCATACGTTCTTTATACTTTTTACGAGTATTTCAGTTGCTTCTGTGTGCAAATCACCCAAAATGTAACGATTTAGAATAATAATTTGTATTTACTCATGAGTCCAGATTCTTTGGCTTGTGAATTCCAGCAAGACACAGTACCAGTATCTCCTCTGTACTCTGTGACTGGCTGAGGCTGGGCTAATCTAACTCAAATGTTGTGAGCATGTGTCTTGGAACATTAGATTGGAGCTGTAGTCTCCTGACAAGAATAAGATGACAGCATATGGAAAGTATTAAGATGGAAGCTAAGAATGTTCAAGGAAAAGAAGGCATATTGTCTTCATTCTTTGTTTTCTTCTACATGACTTCACCTGGCCTATTTAGGCTTCCTCGTAAAATGATAATTTGGGTTACAAGAGAGGACATTCCAAGAGAACAAGCCTCAGTGTGGAAATTTTTACTTTCATCATATTTACTGGTATGTCAGTGACCCAAGGAAGTCACATGACCCAGTCCAGAGTCTATGTGGGAAGGTGGTATAAAAGTCTGTGGATCTCTTAGGGGTGGGTTACAGAAATCCAGTTAAGGGTTAGTAATCAGAAGGTGTACTTCCAGAGGTAGGTGCAGTGCTGTGTGCCTATAAACCCTTCTGCTCAGGAGGATCCCTTGAGCTGGGTAATTCAAGGTCTATCTTGGCGACCTAGCAAGACCCTACCTCAAATGAAGTGGAAGCTACTTCTGACTGTAAGTCTTCCTTCTCAAGACCTGAACTCAATTTTTTTTTTTCATAATTCCCTTAAGGTGACTGGAAATTCTAGCTAGTTTCTTGACCTCTGCTACTGATGTTTTCAAATTAATTGACTCAATTGGCTATAGTTGTTCACACCTGTAAGCCTAATACTTAGGAGGCTGAGACAGGAGGATCATTACCGTTTTGAGAGCAATCTGGGCTACATAGTTCTAGGCAAGCCTAGGCTGCACAGTGAGTCCCTCCCTCAGAATTTTACAAAGGTCAGTTTTCTCAAAAGGAAAAAATGGCACCAAGTTGCAGTCTGAAGAGTGTTACATTTAGGCTTCTCAGACGAAGTTTTAACTGTCTGAGAAAAGGGATCATGTTCATATCAGGTGTGACCCATGAAAGAGTCTCATTCAGAATTAGAAAGTGATAGATTAGTTGTCCAAGATCATTGATTGCTTCCTATAATTATCCAACATGATTTGATGGCCTGTAGACCATATCACTTTGTGTTTCACATTTTCTCAGTTTCTAAATGGCAGATTTGTCAATGTCCTATTCCCTGTCCTGGTGATTTGTTAGGTTGTACTGAGGCAGGGATGTTTTCTTTAGATATTGATTATCAGAACATGGGAATTCATACTCATTTAAAACTTTTTTAGAATATGAAAGTTTAAAAATAGATACTTGGTACTATCTTTGGTATATGTGCTGCCAAAGTGAGCACGATTTCATACTTGATGAGAAGTGTTCCTAACATCATGAGGGCTGTTGGATCCGTGACTCCGAGCACACTACAGGACTTGGAGGCACTTTGGGATTTCCTAGGGAGGGGAAGGGTATATTCTGGGGGTGAGAAGAGGGGTGGATTGGGGCATACACTGCTTGTTGTACTTTTCTTCTCTATTAGAAATATTCTGATTCATTCTTTCTCTTCTTTTCAAAGGAGGGGTAGCAGGGTGCCTAGCTGAAAAGTTTATTTCCCTAGATCTCATGCAGTTACGGTAACGATAAGGAGACAGTTTTGGAAACTGCTCAAGATTGCTAGAAAAGCATTTCTTTTTCTAATACTGAGTCTCTCCTTCCCTTCTGTTCTTCTCTTCCCACCCTTCTTTCTTAGACTACTGACACAGAGATGGAAATAGTGTCTCATGACAAAGATAAAGGTGAGCACAATGAGGAAAATATGGAGATGAAAGCCGCAGGCCAAGAATGCTTGGGAAGAAAGACAGAAGAAACCGGGGTCACTTGTGATCCCCTGAAGCTGTTCCAGCTGTCCTAGAATGGCTACCCCTGCCTCAAAAATAAATCTGAATTCGACTCCACTGCTTACTGCTTCCCGGTATGTGTAGCTGAACACAGTCTTGGCTAATATGTAAATTACCATAAGTTACCTGCTACTGAGTGTTCTTGCTTGCAGGCCTTACAAGTTAGATGATAACTTGACTTACTATATCAAGAATACAAGAACGGTCACAAACTAATGTATCAGCGCTGGTGCCATCTCTTGCTAATTACTGCTAGTTATATTAAATTGTTAGCAGATTAAGAGACATTATTAAAGAAAATTGAAAGTAGAGAGGAGAAATAATACCCATAGTTGAATCTTCTAAAGTTTCAGTTTAACATTTTGATGTTGTTATGATTTCTGTCTTATTCAAATTTTTCTTCCATTGTGACATTACTGCATATTTATATTATTTTACCCAATGTTATACCATAAATAGTATTCCAAGTTAACAAAATCTTTTAATTTTATTTGTTTATTAGTGTATGAGTGTTTTGCCTGCTTGTATTAAGTACACGGCATGTGTTCAATGCCCTTGAAGGCCAGAAGAGGGTGTTAGATCTCCTGGAACTGAAGTTATGGATAGTTGGTAGCTGCCATGCAGGGGCAGGGAATGGAACCCAGGTCCTTTGCAAAAGAAGCTACTGCCCCTTAACTACTGAGCCATCTCTCCAGCTCCAATACAGTCTTTTAAATAAATAGCTTTTTAATGTTCTGAATATAACATGTTTTGATTATGTTTCCTTGTCATTGAGCATCTCGATTCATTTAAACTTTTTTAGGTTTGTTTATTTTTATGAGTGTTTTGCCTGCATATGTGTACATGTACCACATGTGTACAGTGCCTGTGGAGGCCAGAGAGGGAGTCAGATTCCAGATGCTTGGAACTGGAGTTACAAGCAGTTGTGAGCTGCCATCTGAATGCTAGGAACTGAACCCTACTCCTGTATAAGAACAGCCAGTGCTCTTAACTGCTGAGGCCATCACTCCAGCCCCATCAATTCACTTTTTAAAATAATTATGATTGTGTATATGTGCATCATGGGTTGGGGGTATGCATACATGGCACATATGTGGAGGTCAAAAGACAGCTTTGTGAGGGGGGGGTCTGTTCTCTCAGACTCAGGTCACCAGCCTTGCACTGTAGCTGCCTTTACTCAATGAACCCTCTCACTTCCCTCCATTCACTTTGAAACTATTCACCAAGTATCTAATTAGTTCAAGTCAATTAATTAAATATTATAAGTAAAACCTCTAGTTGCATAGACCAAGC